GTCCAGAAGAAATCATGGTCAAGTGCTGTTGAGGAATCTATTCTTTTGGCTGGGTCTAGTGTTAAAAGTTTGTCTAACAAATCCAGTGCCTGCAAAGTTTCAAAAAAGAATTTCATTATAATTTCGGGGATTGTAGGGTAGCCTTTTCATAAAATCGAAGGAATGTGTCTACAATATGTTTAAATATCTTCAAATAGCACATACTACTTAACAATACATATAAAATATACACAGATGCAGGCATTCTTTTCCAATCAATCACTGCTGTATGACTGGCTGATTATGTGACCATAAATTTCCCCTCAAAAACACTTTAACATCAATCTCCTACAAAGGACCATACAACCTAGAGTGCATACCCACTGATGCTGCACTCAGTCTTTGTGTCTGTGTTCCCTTTGTATTGCTATCAAAGAATGGTTAATGGTTAATGGTTGAAATAAATAAATGAGCTAGACATTAAAGGTCATATAGCACTATGGTAAAGTATTGTGGCAAAAAGGGGTAAAAATGAGGTAAATTATTAGGATAAAATGTGTTAAATGTCAAAGGTTGTAGTGTTATGATAGTATGACTGGGAGAAGGGAAAATTGGGTGTGGAAATGAAGTTAATCAGAGATTACTAAAGGAAAGGGTTACTGGCATTAGGTGATTGGATGAAATGGAGTATATCTGTGGCTTGGGAAGCTATAGGAACATTTTTTATGGGAAACTAGCAAAAGAGCTATTTTCAACTGGTAATATGGGTAGAGATGGCTCTTGGAAAAGGATAAGTATCTGGGGATGAGATAAGGGGACTGGGGAAGATGATGAAGTATCAGGAAGAGTATCAGGAGGGGAGGGATCCAAAGAAGGACACTATTGTGACAGAAGGGATTCATGTGAGTATCCAGGTGAGAGAGGTAAGGATAATGGTGAACAAAGATAGAATGGTGCAGGTGGAGAAAGAACTTAAAGGGAGAATTTGAAGGGGAGGAGAGTGTTATTAGCAAATACTTTGAATGTAGAGGGAACAGAAATAGAAGGATTGGAGGGTGGATGAAGGAGCAGAACATTCTCTTGGGGGTCTAGGAATTTCTGGATTTCTTTGAGTTTCCTGAGGGGAGTTGGGTGGGGAAATCTGAGAAACAAAGGTGCTCTTGTGAGGAGGAGAACATAGGATAGAAATTCGAGGAGTACAGAAAAAGGCGGTGTAGGACAGGTTGTGGAAGGCAAAGATGGAGTAGAACGTTTAAATTGTCTGGTGTGACTGTTAAAGTGAGAAGGAAGAGGGGAAGGCATCGGAGAAGTGGTAGAGATTGAAGTACCTGGATTTAGACAGGAAAAGGAATTTGACTGGCAGAGTTGAGGAAAGAGATACTGGGGGAGATTCAGAGACATCTTGAGAAGATGGGAGGGGAGCAGAGTGAAGGACTGTTTTGGAATAGGCAGAGTGAGAAAAACCTTATTGTTGTGCTTCCTACCTCGCCTCATGTAGAGTGAGATCTAGTTTGAATATGAGAACTTCTACCTCACATTCAAACTCATAGGCAGGGCAACCCTTATAAAATACATTATTGGCACATGTATGTGACTAAGCAGGGATATTTGAACAGTCATGACCAGGTTGGGCTTATAGAGGGCAGCGGGCTGTGGAGCGACAGTTTGGCTGGGTAGCCAAAACGCCAGCATTTCTGACGTTAACAAAGGTGGTGTCAATAGGGTCAGATATGGCCGGACGCTCCACCAATATAAACTTCATGGGGGGTCATGTCTACAGAAGCTAATCTTGGCAATATTAGTGTAAGATATGCACTGTTCTCTGGGAGGGAAAGTATAGCACCGTACTGCTACTGCATCACAGTCAGCAAGGCAGGCAAGGTCATTTTCAGTCTTAGATAGGACAGTCTGGGTGACAGTTCTGGTACAAATATTTAGAGTGGATGGAGGTTCAGCTGGAATTTGTTTGCCAGTGAGATCAGTCAGGGTATATAGTGCATGAGCTTGGGACTCAAGTGTAAATTTCACAGGATAAAAACGATAAGAATGACTGCAAAAGGAAACTTTGCCAATTTATTTTAGGTGACACTGTTGGAAGAGAAGGGTATTGTCAGAGTAATGGGCTGTAGAGGGAATCACAAAGGATCGATCCCACTTGGCTGGGCCAAAGAGAGTACTCAAAAGGTTTGCAACATTTAGCTTCCACCTTGGAAGCAGTAGAAGGACAAGGTCGGAAGGAAATGGGGTGGTGTGGGGTGAAGTAGTATTGTGGGGAGGAGGATAATAAGGATGAAGAGTAGTAATGACAGGGGAGGGGTTAGACAATGAAGAAGACTGTGCAGTAGGAGATGGAGTGGAGAATGTTGGGACAGAGGAAGGGGTGCTTTCTGAAGGTTCAGTAATGACCTGGGTGGGTGGTTTGAAATGGATAGAGTTGTCAGTAGACATCAAATATTAGTATTAGTATCAGTGGTTGGAGCCGTGGGCAAAGAAAAGGCAGAGGTCAGAAAATCAGTGGTTG